TGCCAGGCATCGTGCGTCCGCAGGTGACGCGCGCCCACCCCCGTCGCGAGGTTTTTGCGGCAGTGCCAACATTCGCGCATCTACGTTTCGGCACGTTTGCCCCCGTCGCGAGGCAGTTGGCTCGAGGACACAGCCCGGCGCAAGGCCGGCGGTCCTGCACTCTCTCGCGTTTCCCTGGTTCTCACGGGTCATCTCCTCTTGGACGCTGCCTGGCGACAGTGCCAACTTGCGGCAGTTGAAGATTCCGCGCGCTCGCCCCCGTCACGAAGCAAATACCGCGATGACACAGCCAGGCCGCATTACTTGACGGAATACATTGGCATGGATTTCTTACTTCGGTCATCATGATCCGGGCTAACTCGCCTCCCGTTCGCCCGGACGGCGTTGAATTTGCACCGCGCCGCGAGAAGATAGGACGGACCATGGCGGCTGTGGAACTCCTAGTGCGGCGGCGGTTGGCAGAAAGTCTCGCCCTGTCTACGGGCCTGCCCTGTGACACAGTTCGTGGTCGTTTCTTGGGCCGATTCGTGCTATTTGCCTAACAGTGTTAATGTTTACCCCTCAGTAGTGCGCGTGTGAATGCAGCGGAGATGTCGCCACACACAAACACACACACACACACACACACTCTGAAGAGGTGCGGGCGCGCGCCAAAGAAATAACTGCCCGAATTTCCGCCCCCGGTGATTTCAACCCGGGGAAATCAACATTCCGGGAGCGCTGGCCTATGCGTTATCGAATGGGCGAGCCGTTAGCCAAAGCACCCACGCAATCTTGCGTGACACACCAGGCGTTCTGTCGATCATCGTTTGGGCTCCCAGCCCGGCACCCGACCACAACCCAGAAGTGAACGAATACATGGAGTAAAACAACATGCTGCCAAGCATGTTTTCTGTAAGAGCATGTTAGCATGACAGCCGGCGCGCCTTTTCCCAGACGTTCAACATCTATGCTGTCGATCTGCCCTGCGGACGAGTTTGTGCCCGACCGGGGGCCCTCTGGAGGCCTGCCTGCTGCTCTGTATGGCCCAACGTGACAACTATGCACGCTGTTGATTTCACTTGGGGGCCATCCTGTGACCGCCCGGGGGGGCCCTCTTGGGACCCTCTTGCGGCCTTCCTGCGACTCTGGCAGGTTACTAGCACAGAGCGGCCTCGTCCCTTGCGGCCTGGACCACCGCCCCAGGCCATTCGCACCATCGGGTCACCGTGCCCTTCAGGGTGGTGACTCCAGGTAACTCCGTCCAAAAAAGGAGTCAAGGCAACCCGGAGCCATATTATCTCAAGTCCTTCTCCTCCTCCACTCCCTCGCACTCCACAAGGCATAGGGAGGGTTGTCGCAGGAGACGTTCTCGCAATTCGATCACGAATCAGGCTCCCGCTGGAGACTTGTTTTATGACTCAGGCCTCAGGAGCCCAAAAGCGACGGCAGTTACAGATCTGGATGCCCACCTCGGATCGGGAGCAGAAAGTGAGGCCCTATGGGAAGGACTCCCGCTCGAGAATTCCTCGCAAGTCACTCACAGACCAGGCTCCCGCTCGAGACCTCCTCGAGATGAGTGCATGCGAGTGTGAGTGTGTGAGTGTGTAAGTGGGGTTCCTGATGATGATGGTTGTGATATCGGTTACGATGATGCTGATGATGTTGATGAAGTTACGGCTAATAGTGTTGATGATGATGGTGGTGATGGTGAGGGTGATGGTGAAGCTGATGATGATGATGATGATGATGATGATGGTGATGCTGATGATGGTGGTGGTGGTGATGGTGATGAGGCTGCTGCTGCTGCTGATGGCGGTGCCGATAATGATACTGATACTGATCATGGTAATGATGATGACGATGATGATGCCGACGATGATGATGCTGATGATGATGAGGATGATTATGCTGATGATGATGCTGATGCTGCTGATAATGATGCTGTTGGTGGTGATAATGGTGCTGATGCCGATGATTATGCTGATGATGATGATGATGATGATAATGATGACAGTGATGATGGTGATGGTGATGCTGATTATGATGGTGGTGATGGTGATGATGATGATGATGATGGTGGTGATGATGATGATGCTTATGCTGATGCTGATGCTGATGCTGATGATGATGATGATGATGCTGATGCTGATGATGATGATGATGATGATGATGATGATGATGATGATGATGATGATGTTGTTGTGAGTGCGCGAGTGCGCGTGGTAACAATGATAATGACTGCGGGGAGACTCTGCGGGAGAGCGCCTCGGGATAGCAGAAGCCCGACGGTGGCTGCGGGGGACAGTGCGGATGCTTCGAGAGGCTTCTGGGAGGCTCCTGGGAGGATGTCCTGGGGGCGCTGGCCACACGGCCCCCGCCACGGGGAACTGCCCCGATCGGCCTCCGGACCTGTGACGCCTCTCGTCCGCCTGACCCTCCTCTCCCTCCTCCCTCGCCTCCTCCACCTCAGTGTTCCATCTGGTTCTCCTCCGTCCCCCCTTCTCCATCGAATGTCCCATCCTCGTCCTCATCCCCGCCCGATCTCTTCCCAGTGCTGCCCCCTCCCTGTGCCCTTCCCTGGTTGGAGGACGGCCCTGGCGCAGCGTCAGCGTAAGGAAGGCCACTTGCGACAAGGAAAACAAAACTGAGAGGAGGGGCAAGAGATCGGAAACCGAGTCGGAGAGGGTACTCCTGCATTGAGGAGCAACAGTCTGCATAAACATAACCTTTCGAAGCTCCGAGCAAATCTCTTGGATCGGCGCTGGCCTCCCTTCCCTGGCGCGTGGAGCGCACCAGGGGCGGCGCCCGAGGCGCCGCCAAGGGGCTCCAGCGCAGATGCAAGAAATCCGCGCGGAAATCCGAAAGTGCATGTTTATGCAGTTGTTCTTCTTCGGCTGCAGCAAGTGGGTCGCGTGCCCATCCAAGCTGGTCCAGCCGCACTGGGTGTCAACGCGCAGGCAAGGAGGCAGAGGAAGAGCAGGGGGGATTCAGAAGGGGGTGGAGGCAGGGGCAGTCGCCGAGCGAACGCCCGAATGCGACAGCGGCTGGTCGCAGAACTGACTCGTCTGGATGAACCTCTCTGGCACGCACGGCACACGTGAGGAATGTGCCGAGTTCGGTCGGGCGGCGCATGCACAATCTCTGGCCGGTGCTCGTGGGAGGGGTGTGCTAGCATGCTAGCACGGGCGGCAGTACCCATGCGACCTTTCCCCTCGGAGGCTGCATCTCGCCATCGCTCGGACGTCCACTCCCCGTGCATTGATCGGTTTCGTGTGTGTGTGTGTGTTTTCCGCTCGGTGATCCAGGATGCTCCTTGACGGTCCTCGCCGAAAACAAGGCACACGCCCGAGCGATGCCAAGTCACTGTGAGGCAACGATCCTCGTGACGGGGTGTACGCGCTGAAAGGAACGGCGCCGCCACCAGGGCCGTGGCCGGGGCTCCCTCGCCACAGTCGAGACGCTGCCTCAAGGAACCCCAAGGAAGGCACGAGGCCCCTCCTCTCAGAGCTCGAGCTCCGATCCCCCATAAAGAGGCCCGAGGACGACCGAAGACAGGCCGCAACGCCATCGGGGGGCACGAGCCCCTCCCCCGATGAAAACACACACTGTGGGGCAAAAACACACAGCGGGGAAAAACACACAAAGTGTTTTTGTTTGTGTTTTTTGCATTTTTTCCCCACAGTGTGTGTTTTTTGTTGTGTGTGTGTGTTTTCCCCACTGTGTGTTTTTTTCCCACAATGTTGAAGGGGCCCCAGGACACACAAATAAATACACACAAATAAAAGTATGTCCCATATTTTCCCATATTTTCTGGGTTTCTGTCTTCCCCCCCACTTCCCATATTTTCGCATATTTTCCTGGGAATCGAGGATTAATTGTGTCTGTGTGTTTTTTTCCCTCCTGAAATGTGTTTTTGTGTGTTTTGGTCCCCTGCTCAGCGGCCCCCCGACGGCGCATGGCCACGATCCTCGTGAGGGGCTTGCCGACGCGTGCGGCGCCGCCGTGCGGACCCCGCCACCGGGGGCCGCAGGTGGAACCGGCCCGCCACGGAGCCCGCCTGCCTCGTGGAGGGGTGTGCCGCCGCGCAGGGCCACTCCGGCGGAGGTTACGTCGGGCCTGTCCCCTTACAGGGGGATTTTCGACGACAAATGCAAAATACCCTCACAAATAATCCAAAAATAGTCCAAACATGGCCTGGGGGCCAGGCCATTTGGGGGCTTTCTTTGGATTTCTTTTGTTTTTCATCGAAAATCCCTCCTGTAGGGGGACAGGCCCGACCTAAGGCTGAGGCCGCACGGGGAACCCCACACGAGGCCACCATCTTTGAGCAGGGACCGACCGTCCCGGCATTCCTGTAGTCCTACCACGACATGTTCTTAGAACCCAAACATGTCCCTAGAACAGGAACTATGTTCTTAGAACATGAACCCGATGTGTGAAAACAAGGCAGTCCCAGCCAGAAATGTTCTAGAAACATGTCGTGGAAACCGCAAGAGGCTCTTAGAACATTGTTTGGTAGGCCTATAGGCAAGCCAGGACGCTTCACCAATTCTTGACATCGTTCAAAGGCATCGTTTCTGGATGGGGAACCGCCTGCAGCTTTGAGAACGACCTGCCCTCCATCGGCGTCCAGACGAGAAGCACGCCATCCTCCTGCGTTCCTGCTGACAAGAGGTCATACGCATGGGGGCACGTACTACATGACATATTCAGCGAAGCGGTCACACCGCAAAAGTATAGGTTCAGGAACTGACAAGCTTGTAAATCATACATGGAACAACTGAGCGGAGCACTCTGGTTGTCCTTTCAAAACGACTGGCCTTCATTGCCCTGGACCTCGACCCGCCGGGTCCAGCATCTACTCTGGCTGGGTTGAACGGTACGCATCCGATTGACAACTCGTGCAAGACGACGCGACTTGTGAACTGGTCCGGCCGATCGACATCGCGAGCGACTCACACCGCGGGCTGCGACCCAGCACTCCCTCTTCCTCGCTCTGCGCTCCTCCGCCCCTGGGCCTTGCCCAATCTCCTGCGACGTTACGGAATACTTGTTGTACAACGGCGTCTTCCCATAGGCGGACCGGAGAGATCCGATAGCCTTAGAGAAGAAGGGGAAGGTATGGCGACCCCAATCCCCGACTTCGTGGGGCTTCTGCACGGGCCAACAATTTGGGGCCGATGTCGGAGAGATACGTCCATCCTCGATAGGGGTGCGTCCGGATAGCGGGGTGTTCCCCTGAGTTGTCCCCTTGTTGTTCTGAGCGGCCTTACTTTTCGGGCGGACCTCGGGGACCAATACTGGCGATGAGAAGCAGAGGAATCCTTTCAAATGGCTTCACGTGCACAGTTCGCCCTCCACGAGATTGTCGCCTAAGCCATCGTGACATCGTGGGTCTCTCCAAGCGGACTACAACTATGTATATGTATATACATACCTATCTTCATATATAGTTTCGTGTTATTTTCTCGCCCCTCCCCAACAAACCCCACTGCACCTTCAATTGACGCCCGTCGTTCCGCCTACTCCCAGCCGGTTCCCGCACGTCCCTTCGCCCACTCCCACCTCATCTTTCCTCATCTCTCCTCCTCTTCCTCCTCCTCCTTCGCATCCTCATCCCTCCTCATTTCTCTCCTCCTCCTCCATTCCTTATCCTATTTCTCCTCCTCTTCCTCCTCCTCCGTTCCTCCTCCTCCCCCTCCTCTTCCTCCTCCTGCATTCCTTTCCCTTATAAACAACTTGTCCATGTCGCACCCCGAGGCCAATTTTTAGGGCGGGCCGGGCGTTTCGCCTGAGACCTCCTCACAATGTATAACCCTGAAGCTTAACAATTGACAACAATTTCACAAATTGAGGGCGGGTCGTTTTGAAAATATGGCTCTCGCCTCTGCGCCGCGCGCATTCGTTTTTGAAAGTTTGCAAGAGTTTCACAGATTGAGGGCGGGTCGTTTTCAATGTGTGGCTCTCGCCTCAGCGCCGCGCACGTTGGTTATTAACATTTGCAAGAGCTTCACGGATTGAGGGCGGGTGGTTTTCAAAATGTGGCTCTCGCCTCAGCGCCGCGCACATTCGTTTTAAATATTTGCAAAGGGTTTCACGGATTGGCAGCAGTTCCGTTTCAAAATGTGGCTCTCGCCTCAGCGCCGCGCACACTCTTGTTTAAACATTGCACAAGTTTGACGGATTCCCATGATCGACGTACCAGTAAGGGTGTGTTGGACGGATTCCCCATTTTGAGGGCGCAGCAATTACGAAAATCCGCGGAATTGAGGTCCCAGGAATGGTGTTCTGACACGGTTCAGGATCGTCAAGACACATCAGTCAGGGTCATCAGTGGCGTTGGAATACCGAGAATAATGTTTTGGCATGCTTCAGGGTCTTCAAATGGTTGTCTTCCATCGAGGCAGGTCCCCCTGAGGAAATGAACCGCTGAATGGGCCTATGAAGAGGGAGTCTGCGGGAGGGTGTATTCCAACATCGTTGGTGGCTCTTGGGATTACACTGGTCCTCCTCCTCATCCCTCTCCTCATCGTCTGCTCCTCTCTCCTCCTCCACCTTCTTTCCCTCATCCTGTTCTCTGTCATCCTCCTGGCGATCCTTTTCGCCCTCCTCCGCGCCCCCAGTGTGTGAAGTAGGAGGGGCATTACAAGCTGTAGTCCCAAAGGCAGAGGGAGCTTTACTACTGGCTGTGGCAAGTTCGAAGTAAGAGCTGTGGTAATCACCGTCGTAAGAACAGCGTTCAAACCTGCAATAAGAGCTCTGGCGGGGGGGTGGGCTGTAGTACTGCCTGCAGTAAGAACTGCTGTGCCACCTGGCACAGGAACTGTGGCTGGAGCAAGCAACATGGTTGAAATACGGACTGTGCTACAGATAAGCATCGGGTCTGCAATGGGAGCTGTCCCGATTGCTCCGCCAGGGGGCCGTAGAAGGAACAGTCTTAGAATAAGCAGTAGGCATTTAGGAAGAACTGCAATGGAACATGTACGGGTGGCTGCAACAAGGAAAACATTAGGAAGTGCAGTAGAAGACACGTTGGCAGCTGCATTCGGGTCTGCTCTACTAGGTGTATTTGGATGCTTATCTTGCGCCTTCGTAGAAACAGCGCTGACATATGCCAACCTGGTTGTTGTAGATTGCAATGAGGGCGAAGCTAGAACTTGTAACAGGACCTGGGCAATAAGCTGTACCAAGAACTGCAGCAAAGGGTCATAGTTTACGCTGTGCTTGTGGCTGTAGGGAGGAGCTGCAGTCTGAGCTGTAGCAAGACTTGAATAAGTACCGGAGATATTGTTCTGGTCGGTGTAACGATGACTGCGTAGGGAGTAGCTTTTACTGGCTGTAGCCGGAGCGTTCTACTGCCTTTTGTCAGAGATGTAGTGGGAGGCGATCGTAAGAACTGCTGGGGCAACGGTATCATATGCCGCACTAGAAGGTACAACGGAAGCTGTACTGGTGGCTGCGTCGAGAAGCAGCAGCTGCAAGACGAACTGCATTGATATAAGCCGTATGCGTTTTAGTAGTAGCTTGAATGAGAGCTGTACTTCAGGCTTCGCCACTAACTGCGCTTGAAGCTTCAGTGGGAGATGCGTGCAGACCTGACTTAAAATGTCATCTGTACGATCGATCGCGGTTGCATGATTAGTCGTAGATCTCGGACGTTGAATGCTGGATTGCTCGGTCGGATCAATACGTGTGGTGGGGGTTGCAACAGGAGCTGCGCTGGGATACGCATACAGATGTGAAGCATCAGCAGTAGCCGGGGTTATAGCAGGAGCTATGGTGAGACGTGCGGTTTGGCTGTAGTGCGAACTCTTTCAAAAACTGTAGTCGGAGTTGTGGCAGACTCCGTAGTGAAAACTGAAGAGGGAGCTGTTGCACGAGTTGTCGTAGGAGCTGTAGCGGCAGCTGTTTTCCTGGCTGCAGCAGGAACTGCATTGACACTTGTCGTGGCAGCTGTAAAAACGCTTTAAACAATACCGCAGTAACTGTAGTAATGGCATTTGGTATGAATAATGGCGGTAGCTGTGACAGCCGTACGACTGGCTGGAACACGGGCTGCAGTGGGAACTGCAATTTGAGCTGCTGTGCACACTGTGCTACCATCAGCAAAACGGCTCAGAGTACGAACTGTCGCAAGAGCCGATGTAAGGAGTGGCATGGTAGCTAAGGGTGGCGCCGCGCTACTGGCTGTAATCGGAGATGACCACGATCTCTTCCAGGACCTGAACTAGGGAGGTTGCAATACGAGCTGTAACGAGAACATGTCGCACTGACTCTAATGCGCGCTGCAACGAGAATTGGTCGATTGACTGTGGAAGGGCATTGTAGCAGGAGATCGATTAACAAGTGCTGCAAACTCGGTCGAAGAGATGCCGTGCGAGCTGTACTGTTTGATGCGAGGTAGGTGCAGCACGGGCTGCGTTCGGCGATGTACTGTGAGCTGTGCTCTTAACTGTCGTAGAAGCTGTGGTGCCACTTGCGTTGGAAGCTGCACGTGTTCCTGGGATCGGATGTGCAATCGGACCTGGAAAAGAACGTGTAGAAGGAGCTGTTGTAGTACTTGTGAGACGAGCTTTAATGAGACCTGTGCTGCTGACTGCACGGGGGGGGTGCGCATGAATCCCACCAACCTCTGGGCGTCGGTGGTCGTCCGATCCCCTTCGTTCCCTTCAGGAAGGGGTTTACCCGTCCCCCGACCCCTTCCCCTGGACCTGGAGTGGGGGTTTCGCGAGGCGTTGGAGCGTCCAAGATGGTCCAAGATGGCTCTTGGAGGGCCCCAGAGAGCCCCAGATGACCTCCAAGATGGCTCAAGATAGCCCAAGATGGCCCGATATGGCTCCCAAAATGCTCCAAGAGGCCCCGAGACCGTTCCAAAACGGCTCTGAGTGGCTACGGAGGCTCCTCAAGAGGCCGCCAAGAGGCCAACATCCTTCAACAACCTGACGAAAATCAATGACTTGTGCCTTCACGCCTTTTCGCTTCCGATGGCCTTCCCGGGCCCCAAGACAGCTCCAAGAAGGCCCATGAGGGCCCCAAGAGAGGCCCAAGCCGGTCCCAAGCCGGTCCCAAGAGAGCCCCAGAGCCCTCCAAGAGCGCCCCAAGAAGGCCCAACAGGCGATGCTTGGGGCTTCCGAATGGGGGTCGTAATTGGAGCTCCCACCTTTTTGTTGATCGATCTCCTCCAAGATGGCCCAAAGAGCGATTCCAACGCTCGCAAGAACGCCTCAAGAGGGACCCGAGAGGCGCCCAGAAGGCCCCAAGAGGCGCCCAAGGGCGCCTCCAAGAGGCTCCCCAGAGACCAGCAAGAGGCCCAAAGAGGCTCCCCGAGTCACCCAAGACGCTCCAAGAGGCCCCCGGGACCGCCAAAAGGTCCCCAAGACGCTCCAAGAGGCCTCCCCTGGGAGACCCTTCCTCTGTGTGCTGCCCACTGCCCTGATCGAGGTAGCTCCTCTAGGCATCGTCTCTGGATGGCCTGGTTGGGTTACGCGAAGCGTTCAGAATTCTACTAGGAGCGGTACAAGTGTCAGTACTAGAAGATGGGGTAGGGGCTGTAGCAGAAGGGCCAGAATAATATTGATGCAGGAATGCCAATGATAACTCAATAAGACTTGATATGGGAGCTGTTGTCGGCGATATCCTAGAGCCGCAATAGAAACTGTGGCAGGAACGACATAAATAGCGCTGGCACTAGCTGCAATGAGAGCTGCGAAAGCTAAACTACTGGATGTGCAGCGTTTCAAATCAGAACTGCGCGGTGAGGTGTAGTGGAAGCTGTACTGAACTGTAGAAGGAACTGTCGCAGGAATATGAATGAGAACTGCGTTGCTGGTTGTTGCGGGAATTGCCGTGGGACCTATAGCGGCAGATGCAGGATAACTACAGCAGACGCATCCGCAGGATCTCTATCGATATCTATTGGGTAGAAGCCGTATTTGGAACTGGCGCGACCACTATACTGCTGGCTGTACCGGGATTGCAATACGAGCTGGACCGTGAGCTGTACAGAAAGCTTTGTACTACTTGTGGTAGGACCCGTATCATGAATTACAGAAACACGAGGGACACGAGGAACAGGGACAGGGGCGGAAGAGAGCAGCGATGATGAGAGCCGCAGGTCTGAGGAGCGGGGGAATGGCGACGAAGGGGGGAACAGTAGGAACCACCTTGAACAAGGCAACATTCTAATCACCTGGAGGGGGGGGCAAGCGTACACGGCCACCCTTACATGATCATGCATGCAGGTCCCGACACCTATCAACGGTCTCCTCTTGCACCCCAACCTCTTCCTTCTCTATGTCCTCACGCTCCTCCTCATCATACTCCTCGTCTTCCGTATGATTTGAAGGGGGTGGCGAGGAATAGAGAGACAGAGCGAGGAGCGGCCTCCGCAAACCATGGTATGCTTTCAGGCTCCCCAGGTCCTATCAAACAAGGCGGTGGCTCCATGGTTGATGATGTTTGAGAATTCCTGTGACAGACTGCGAAATGTGAGCAGCCGTTCGCAGAAAATCTGAAACAACTGAAGACTACACAAAGACACAACGTTTTACAACCCCAAGGTTTCCGAAACTGCGGAAACGTTTTTTTTTTTTTCTGTTACATATGTCGTAATTTGCAATCCTCCAGAGATCCTGGGAACGCTTGCCCAACTTGCGGAGTCCCCCCCCCCACGACATCTAACATGCACCTTTCTCATTTGCAGGATTTGGGCAATCTGAGTGACGCACTAGTTTTCAGCTGTCATGTCGCGCTTATGGCGCGAGAGGAGAGGAGAAGGAGGAGGAGGATAATGAGGAAGAAGAGGAGGAGGATGATGGGCAGGAGGAGGAGTAGGAGGAGGAGGAGAGGGAGGAGGAGGGGTAGGAGGAGGAAGAGGAGAAGGAGGAGGACGAGGAGCATGAGGAGGAGGAGCGAGGAGGAGGACGAGGAGGACAAGGAGGAGGAGGAGGGGGGGGAGGGGGGAGAAGGAGGAGGAGGAGGAGGTAGAGTAGCTGACGACGATTCGTGGATGCTTGGCTGATTTGGTGGTTTGGGGGGGGTGCTGTCGGGGAGCGACCATATACTTGTAACTATCTCTGTTGTACGTGAGTACGGGGAGGCACACCGACAATATTGGTGTTGGTGTCAATCTCCAAGCCTGCGAGAAGATCTCACCGCAAGGCCCGCCACCACACGGCTCTGGGACCTCGGAGGCCCCAGTCGCCCGAGACATCCTCGAAGAACGACCCAAGTCGCCACACCGGGAGGCCCAGGCGCAGGCAGAAGAGGAGAAGGGGGGAGAAGGGAGGAGGAGGAGGAGGAGGAGGAGGAGGAGGAGGAGGAGGAGGAGGAGGAGGAGAGGAGGAGGAGGAGGAGGAGGAGGAGGAGAGAGAGGAGGAGGAGAGGGGAGGAGGATCCCCACTCCCACACGACCACACGTGTGGTCACCACCCCGCTTCGGGGCCCCCGATGCCAGAGGGAGGAGCAGCCTGGGTCCTCCAGCAGCAGAGGAGGCGCCACGCCGCCCCTCGCTGGAGCAGGAAGGAGGGAGCCCAGAGCCCCTCAGGAGGAGGGAGGAGCGAGGAGGGGTAGAGAGGCCACGAGGAGAGGGGACGAGGAGGACGAGGAGGAGGATGAGGAGCGCAGCGCCTCAGGAAGGACTCCCGCCGCGCACGCGGGCGAGCGAGGAGGAGGAGGAGGAGCGAGGAGGAGAAGGCCGAGGAGGAGGAGGAGGAGGAGGAGGAGGAGGAGGAGGAGCGAGCAGGAGGAGGAGGAGGAGGAGAAGGAGGAGGAGGGGGGAGGAGGGGGGATGAGGGAGGAGTCCAGGCCTTTCTTGGCCAGGAGGGGTCGAGTCGTTTGCGCGCCGTCCTTCGGCAGGGGTGGGGCACGTCGCGCCACGGCTCCCTGGGGTGCTGCCAGCGCGAGCCCGCACGGCCCACGCCCCTCTCGTCAGACCCAGGCTGGTCAACCAGGCGGCGCGCCTGCGAGGGAAGTGAGAAGGTGCGGACCTCCTCAAGAGGCTCAGAAGTTCCCTGGACCTCTGAGACGTGTTCCAAGCCTGCCCCGGGGACGCAAATTGCATCTCAGGAGGCGCCAAGGCTTCCGAGAAGTCCCGCCGCCTTCTGAGAAGGCATTCTCCTTATCACGTCCCCCCCTCGCTCGCCGCCGATTCACTGACGAGGACTGATGTCGACTCGGTGGTGCAGATGCTCGAGAACAGAGAGCTGCACTGGTAGCTGCGTCGAGGAGAAGCTGCAAGAAGACCTGCCTTGATAGAAAATCCGTATACGTTCTAGTAGGAGCTCGAAGGAGTGCAGACCTCTCCAGCGAGAGGTCCAGGAGCACGGCTGGCCTGCAAAATCCCCAGCGACCCCAACCGGACGCAGCACAGGCAAGATGGCGAGGACGAGCCCTTGGCCGATTCTGGTCCTCCCCGGACCCATTCGCGAGACGAGGAGTGCACCTCCTCACTGGCTTGCTATGATTCCGGTGCCCGACGCACCGCAGCGCTCACACGCGTGGGAATGGCACCCGCTCTAACGCCAGCCTCGCTGATCGAGAGCGATGTGGCATGAGTTTCCAAGATCTACTAGGACACTGAGGGAATCATGGACACCAAATGGCTTTCCTGATCCGCGTTTTCATCCAGAGCCGCTGTTGCGCCGGCGGAGATCGGCCATGGAGGCGCAAGATTATGGAACACCCGCAAAATGATTAATTTCTCTCAGGACATGTTTTGCGCATGGCGGAGGGTGAGGAACTCCAAGCGGCCTCGGCCGAGGTCCTCCAGGCAATACCAAGGAGGGTCATCACTAGGGGGGTCGCCTCGCCACATCCTTGGGGAGATGGATCCCCGGGGACTCCCAGAGCCCCTCACGAGCCCCAAAGACGCCCCAAAATACCCCAAACCAGTCGATCCCTGTTCATCCTCCTCGATCTTCGGTCTCCAGGAAGAGGTGGTGACACACCTGGTGGTGACTATCCCCCGTAGCTCTACAATTGCACATTCTGAATGCTACTCCCCTCTCCCCCTGACTCCATGCGGAAAATGGCCGATTTCTCCACTGATTGTTTTCTTACACACAGGCTTGGGCAAAGGTAGTCGTTCCGATGGTTTTCCACAATCTGGTTTGTTCACGGTGTTTCAAAGTGGTGTTCCCGCTGCAGCGTGGGCCTCGTTTTCGGATCGGCGCTTCACACCCGTCGTTCAGAATGGCGGTCTGGCCCCAGCAAAAGCCACTTTTTTAAATCCAAATCATTTTGCATCGATCGCCACCCCTCATTTCCCCTCCTCCGCTTTCCCCTGGTCCGGCTGACCTTTCCGCGCTGTCCACTCCAATTTCTTGCTGCTTCTGTTCGTCCTCGTCCTCGATCCACCTCATGCTCCTCCTGAGCGTCCTCCTGCTCACCCGCCACCTCCTTTTCCTATGCACGCAGCTCCCCTCACGATGGGCCTCTTTGCTAAAGTTCAAGGTCGGCTATCACGCGCGTCCGCGGTTAGAGAAACATCAGCGCAATGGGAAGTGATATGAGGAAGGGATCGGATGTCAGATGTGGCGCGAGCGCACCCAGCATTCTCCCCACTCGCCCACTCCCGTCCAGCCCAACCTCCCAGCGTCCTCTGGACCCCCTCCTCCTCCTCCTCCTCTGGATGGAGCTTCTGGTGATTGTCATGTCATGTCCCTCTTCCCTCCTCCTCCCCCTCCTCCTCCTCCTCCTCCTCCTCCTCCTGCTCTTTCTCCTTCTCCTTCTCATGTTCCTCCTCCTCCTCCTCGTCCTCCTCCTCTCGCCCCCTCTTCTTCTGCGAATGTTCGTGCCAAGGCGTGAGGGCGAAGCAGCGACGTGCGATCAGTCGGAGGAGAAAAGGCCCTTCCTCAGTCTCCTCTTCGTCATTCTGCCCCACCACCCTCTGCACTCCCCCCCGCCCTTGCAGTCGTGTCAAGACCTCTCCTGGGCGGCCCTTTTACCAAGATCGCGAGGCGAATCCAGCCGCGGCGCCGAAGCCTCTGCTGGAGGTCCGCGGTCGGCGAACAACGACGCAAACGAAAACACGCACACGCCTCCCTTCCTTCTGACCCTCTCACCCCCTCCTCCCTCCAGTGGCCGACGCGTTGAAACCCGACTCGAAGCATGTAACATCTGTGAAAGGCCTACTACGCACATCTCCCTGTCCAGAAGGGAGTCTCAAGTTTCCCGGGCACCGACCACCACAGGCGACCGATCGGGGCACGATTTAGAGGAGGGACCAAGCTCTCGAATGGCTTCCCTGCGATTCTGGGAACATGCTTTGAGCGTCATGTGTGGCGCGGTCCCTTACCTGGGTCAGGGCCAAGCTCTAGTCAACATGGCCTCTGACGCTAAACCTAAGACAGAGCAAAACTACCAGCAACATCTAAGCCTCGAGCTTCGTCTAGCTCGTCGCTGCCGATCACACGGTCAGCCTCGAAGGACACTGCCTCGTCTTGAAGAACGGGCACCCAAGTTGGCAAATCCTCGCGCACCATCAGCGCAACATCCTCGGGCGGGCAAGACGTCCAGCAACCATGCGCGTCAGGCAGGAGCGTGCTCCTGGAAGAAGAACAAGACGGCATAAACATAAACTGGTGGCGCTCCGCTCATAGTTGTTGGATCTGCGCCGGGCCCACCTCCCTGGCGCGGTGGGCCCCAGCGCGGATCCAGGAACTCCGCGCGGAGCCCCAAAAGCTTATGTTTATCGAGTTGTTTCTTCTTCGAGCTCCGCAGCACACAACCAGTGGACCCTCACATCGTACCACCGCCTGGTAGGAGGACGGCCATGGACATGACACGAGCGACAAGCGAGAGCCGCGCCAGGAGCCCTGTGGTAACCTTCCTGCCCGCCCATCCCCCCCCCCAGACCCGCGGGCTGGGGCGATCGGCCCTGGATCCTGGAGGACCCAGATCGACAGGGGAGGCGAGTGGAGGCCCGACCACAAGACACATTCCACAAGAAACCTAACCCTGAGACCTCAGGACGTCCATTGATTTCTTGGCGTGGGAACGTTGCGCTTTCCATCGCAAAACCGTCGAAGTCCAAGAAACCCACGGCTCCCTGGAGGCAAGCAGCGTGTCTCTTGGCATGGGCCTCCACTGT